TTACTTTCGGAAAAAAAGATCAATAATTGTGTGAAAGTAACGACTACGATTGCTACAATAGTTAAACCAATAATGTGGTTAGAAACTTTGTATCAAATCAAATAATGTAAGTCAAACCCTATCTTGGGGTGACAAATTTTTTACATCAAGATGTCTCACTCTTTATTTTTATTTCATATCACATCCAATCCCAAACCCAACTCCATCTTTTACCTTTAAAATTTTCCATCGATGTGGCCTTCCCTAACAACCCCTCACCTGGCCCATACATGCTTTGAGTTCGACAGACTCATTAAACTTCATTTGTCTTCTCTTTGCGATTTCCATCTTTCATGGTTAATTTAACATCCAATTGTCATTACATAAATTTGTCATGTATCATCCGTCGTACAATAATATCATCGATAAGAGTCTACATTATGGCACAATAGTGTTAAAAGATGCGACACATGTCTTTGATTGACGTCCTTTGCATTAGCGATGAACAATACAATGTCAGGGATTCATGTTTTCGCAAGTCGGAACAATATTAGCTTGGTTTAACACCTACATCGGACAAATTTCATAATAAATGTACACCGACACAAAATGGACGTAAAAATACATCTTATACCGTACAAAACAATCTCGTCCTCATAATAACGAAATAATTCAATTTTGACACACGACCGATGTAACAATTTTCATATATGATATATCATGTTTGTTTTTTTTAACTTTTTTTTTTTTACTAACTTTAGAAGTTACGTATTGACCTAATTATTTATTTTAATTATATATATGGGAATTAATTCATGCATGCACAGAACAAATTAAAGAATCCAAGGATAGATCTGATTAGTTTCTTGAATGGTGGAGCCATCCTAATTAATCATAGAAAGCAACGTTAATTAAAGATTAAGAATAGTAATTATACAATTAGTGCTAGGTTCGTTGGAATTGGTAGTTGGCAGTTTTTTTCTGGTAAAGTCGGTTGGTCCATCATTCCAATTAATTATATGTTCTTTAGAATTGTTTTTCCTTTACCAATGGAGGCACTGATACTCCATGCTCTTAAAATTAAGATACTGTATTTTAGAATTTTTAAGAACAACTTGCCTTTAATTAAATTAGCCTAATTAATTTTAACGTTGAAACTCATAATTAGACTTCCAAAACTGAAGATTAATTTTAGTTTTTGAAGATCAATCTTGAGATAATCAAATGATTAGGGATGATATACATGTGCTACCATGTGCACACGTGAACCATGCCTGCACGACACTTGTGAAAGCTCAAATAATGGGTGGTTCCTTTGCACGTGTTCTGCACGTGACTTTCTCTCAAACCCATTTAGCAAAACGTTTATGTCACACCCAATTTTAATTAAAAAAAAAAAATCATGAAATTTTAATCATGATATAAAAAATATAGTTTAAAGTTTTAGATTGCATCTTAATTATGTAATTATATTTTAATTTTGTGAATAAATTCAAAAATAATTGTGTACATGTTTCCCAAATTCGATCAACCATTTAGAAAAATTTAGTGAGAACCCACATGCTTTGAAAATCATTATAGTAATTAACTAGATTTAGTTCTAAGTCAGAGATTTTCTTTCAGAAATTCAAATAATAATACATTTCATATCCAAACAAAGATCCATAATAATTAACCAACTTCTCGATTTCCTAATCATTATCAAATTAATACCAACCCTTAATTAAATAATTAATTCTTAATAATTAACATGAATCACTCCTAGTTGGCCACACACTCTAAACAATTTAATTAATTAAACCACTAATTATCATGTGATCTCCCACTTCTCATGGATCACAATTCCCATACTATGTAATCACATCTCTCACCTGATCATTGTTGAACTCACTACTCAAATCACATTATTGATTTTTGAAATAATTCGATTGACATTATGATTTTACTTTTATTATTAATTCAATATTGGTGTATTGTCGAGTATGATAATAAATATATAATTGGTTTCCAACTTTATGTAACATCAAAACAGGTTTTACTAAACTGTTTGATCACTCGTTGTGCTCTGACACGTTTGCATTGGGGTCGGTTAGATAGTCGCAACGCTAGTGCTTACTGTTGGAAAAAGTGTTCCACAATTGATATTATACGATTTTTTTATTGTCAAAATAGAGTTATTTCATTGTGTTTTAAAACCCACTTTTCTTGTAGTGATAATTGTATTTATAAGATAATTTTCAATAATGGATAGAGTAATACAATTTATATAATAATAAATGCAATGGAGAGAAATAATTGATTGAAAAAGCATACATAAAAGAAAATAGTGAGAAATAAAGAGCAGGTTGAGGGCAATGAGGGGTAGTGTAATGATGTTGAAAACAGTAGAACGTTGGAAATTTGGAAAAATGAATGGTGGGTCGGTTAATGGCTCCAGGAAAGTTATATATATAATTGACCACAGTGCTAGCCTCTGTATTCCAGTATGCATTTGCATGGTAAAGTAGTGCTTGCTACGTCCAAATTTTTCTACTTTATGGTAGGGTATATCTATAATATCCTTTCCGTGTTCACACTTTCACCGACAAACAACTTAGATGAGATATATATTGTGTATCATATTATTTGTATATATAGATTATTTCATTATTGTCATACCTAAAAAATCAGGACTGGCGTAAGCTTATTTTAACAAACACCAATCGAAGTTTAAAAAGACTTTATGCCGTTCAAGATCTGTCATGTCACCCTAAGACAGAGAGAATACGGTTGTCACCAACTCATCAGATTTAGATTTTGTCTACAAGTGAATGAGGATTGTACACCTGTCAAAGTCTTAGATAATTTGAGGATATTTCCTAAGTTATATACCGATGAGACGCAATGAAGGACTTGCACAACACCTACTCACTTACAGACTTGTAATCATCACCTTGATTTCAGCAGCTATAAATAGAAGACTCCCCCTCACAAATTCGAGATCGATCTCTGATTTTCATAACAATTAATAGCAAAGACAATCCACAGGAAAGAGACAAACTTAATATTCTCTTTGAATATTTCTTGTTTCTATATTCATTATTTGTTATACGTGTAATAAACTTATATAAAAGAAACAGTAAATTAATGCAGGAATCGCTTTAAGCATCTGAACCACTATAAAATTTTCGTTATCTTATTTATTATTAAGTCTTTGCTCTCTATTATAATCTTGTCCTAACTATAAATTAATCACGTGTAATTTTTACGATCTGCTTAGCACTTTGCACGTGCTAGGTCGTTAGTGTCACAATCACCATCAACAATTATAATTAAAAGGAAAATAAAAACGATTTAGAAATATTAAATAACTATAAAGTTGATGAAAAGAAAGATATAGTTGAGGTATGAAGGTAGTTAAGCTCAATGTATCCTTAATTTATTAAAAAATAAAGATGAGATCGCTGTCAGAAATTTGACAGGTAGATATCTTAAGAATGTTGTATTGTATTAGTTTTAATTAAAGGTTAGATCTGATGGGAAATGTTAATCCCTTAATTAAGGTCATCCATGACATTGCAAAGAATAATCCCATGTCTCAAGACATGTTATTTTTTATTTAAAAAATGAAGTAAAATTTATGTTGTTTTAGTTCGGTAGTAGTTAAATGATCTGGTCATCATCCAAACATATAATAAATAATGAATGTGTTTAATTAAAGGTCATCCATGACATTAGGGAGTCTAATCCCACTCGTAAAATTTTAATTGAAAGAAGATTGGGCTGTTAACCCATGATTGGAACTTTTAAAAGCTTTCCTTCAAACTGATTAATTAAACAAATGAGAGGTGTAGGAAGAAGAGAAGAGTGAAGAAGGAACCTTTACCTAATGGCCATAATTGATCATTAAAAAAAAAAAAAAATTGTTTATTTATGCATAAGAGGTTGAGTGGTTAACTAAAACATTTGAGTATACTACTTAAGAGAGGTCTTGAGTTTGATCCACCACGGCCACTAATAGGGATGACTATTAGAGTTTTATCCGATTAATTAAAGTAAGTATAAACTGATTCGAACACTCACAATCATAATCATAGTCATAGTCATAATCATAAAAAAAAAAGAAAAAAAAAAAAAAATGCGGGAGATTTTGATGACAATGTCAAATGAAGAAGGTCACCTAACTGTCACTTGTCTCCCAATTCAGGAGTAAACCACTTATTTATTGAGGGAAGATTATAAATATCTAGTACTGTTATTTGGGACCAGTTAATGGGGGTGTTTACTATCATTTTCCAAATATTATTTTTTTTATTTTATTTTTTCAAAGGCTTGAGTTCGTCCACCGCTACAACATTCTCAACTTTCAAGTAACCTAATCAAGAATTTAAAGAGTGTTTACTATTATTTTATGATAGGGTTAACCTTTAAAATGAAAGAAAAAGAGCATGATTTTCATAAGAGAAGAAGAAGAAGGAGAAGAAGAAGAAGAGAGCGTGTGGGGCAATTGATGTGGAATAGACATGAGAGTGAAAAGCAAAACCCAAAACCAACCAAGAACAATCGCCACGTGTACTGCATTGCTTCTTCTCAACTCAAGTCAATTGAGGTATGAACGCGGGATTACAAAAACCTTTCTAACTAGACGTGTATCAAACACCAAAAACAAATAAAAATCTGTTATTGTAATACAATTATGGAACTTTGTCCTTCTCCCCAAGATGCAAATCCAATTGTTTAACAGACTTAAAAAGATTTATACAAAGAGAGGGAAAGTGAGAGGCTGAGGCTGAGGCTGCGATAGAGAGAGAAGAGGACTTAATTTGTGTTCTTGCGTGTCACATTATTAAGCAAACTGATGTCTCTCACATCGTCGCCCACACCTCCTTTCAATCACTTAAAAATATTTTGGCAAAGCAAATCCTTCCTCCCTGTTTAAACCAACACGTGGTCTTCTTTTACGTGTCCATGGTGGACCTCCTTTCTCTCCTTATATACCCCCTTCTCTGCCCTTTCTCTCCTCAACCCTCTCAACACTCTCAACACTCTTCCATTTCTGATCTCCACTTTCTTAATTAATTTAAACACACATCACCCACATTACTAATCTCACTTCTTCACCAAATTGGATTCTAAGTTTCTCAATATAGATCATCATGGCGGCACCAGCGGCAAATAGCTCTTGGGTGGCTAAGCCTCAGTCTTCTTCTTCTTCATTGGAACACTTGGCCTCAAATTCATTCTTCAAAACACAAACTTGTACTACTACTTCTAAAAGGCCTAAAAATAACATCACTTGTTCACTTCAAACTCCTTCAGTTCTTCATTTTCCTAAACAATCTCCCACTTATTCTCCATCAAAACAGCCTAAAGATGACTCCAATTCTCTTTCTTTAAGTACTTCTTCATCTCCTTCTTCGAATTCTTTTCCTCAAAACTGGAACTTGTTACAAAGAGCTGCGGCTTCAGCTTTGGACGCCATAGAAAATGCCTTGGTTTCCCATGAGCGTCAACACCCACTCCCTAAAGCAGCTGACCCACGTGTCCAAATCGCCGGGAACTTCGCCCCCGTCCCAGAGAACCCCGTCTCTCACTCCCTTCCGGTCACCGGGAAAATCCCAGATTGCATTCAAGGTGTCTATGTCCGAAACGGAGCTAATCCTCTCCACGAACCCGTCGCTGGCCACCACTTCTTCGACGGAGACGGCATGGTTCACGCAGTTCAGTTCAATAAAGGCTCCGTCAGCTACGCCTGTAGGTTCACTGAAACCAACCGTTTCGTTCAAGAACGTAGTTTAGGCCGCCCAGTGTTTCCCAAAGCCATTGGCGAACTCCACGGCCACTCAGGCGTAGCAAGATTGCTTCTTTTTTACAGTAGAGCTCTCTTCGGGCTTGTTGATCCCAGCCATGGCTCTGGTTGTGCCAACGCCGGACTGGTTTACTTCAACAATCGTCTTTTGGCCATGTCTGAAGACGATTTACCTTACCATGTTCGTGTCACTCCTTCCGGTGATCTCAAAACGGTGGGTCGTTTTGACTTCGATGGTCAGCTTAATTCAACAATGATAGCTCACCCAAAAGTTGATCCTGTTTCGGGCAAATTGTTTGCTCTTAGTTATGATGTTGTTCAGAAGCCTTACTTGAAGTACTTTCGTTTCTCTCCGGATGGCTCCAAGTCTCCGGATGTTGAGATTCCTATTGATGAACCAACAATGATGCATGATTTCGCCATTACTGAGAATTTCGTTGTGGTTCCTGATCAACAAATTGTGTTTAAACTCCCTGAAATGATCCGCGGTGGCTCACCGGTTATTTATGATAAGAACAAGATGTCAAGATTCGGGATATTAGACAAGAATGCTACTGATGCTTCTGGGATTAAATGGATTGAAGCTCCTGATTGTTTCTGTTTCCATCTCTGGAATGCGTGGGAGGAGCCTGAAACTGAGGAAGTTGTTGTGATTGGTTCATGTATGACTCCCCCGGACTCTATTTTCAATGAATGTGATGATAATTTGAAGAGTGTTTTATCTGAAATAAGACTCAATCTAAAGACTGGTAAGTCCACTCGCCGCCAGATAATTTCCGAGTCAGAACAAGTCAATTTAGAGGCCGGAATGGTTAACCGGAACTTGCTCGGAAGAAAAACCCGGTATGCATATTTAGCCCTTGCTGAGCCCTGGCCTAAAGTCTCCGGCTTCGCCAAAGTTGATCTTTCAACTGGAGAAGTCCGCAAATACATATATGGTGACCAAAGGTACGGCGGCGAGCCTCTCTTTTTCCCAAGAGGGTCTAATTCAGAAAATGAAGATGATGGTTTCATTCTCGCTTTCGTTCATGACGAAAAGGAGTGGAAATCCGAGCTGCAAATCGTTAATGCCATGACTTTGAAGCTGGAAGCCACAGTTAAGCTTCCATCTCGAGTTCCTTATGGCTTTCATGGCACTTTCATAAGCGGCAAAGATTTGGAGAAGCAAGTCTAAATTCAAGTTTGTAGAGTTTAGGCTATGAAAGGAGGGAGATTTACCAGAGGGATGCTTGCATATACTTCCCCGGAATCTCCTCCTTTGTGGGGTTCTGACTAAAATATTTAGCTTTTTTGTTTGTTTGTTTGTTTGTTTTTGTTATTTAATAGTGAGAGGTTTTGAGGAACCAGCTTGTAGCTTTTGGTTGTAGCTAGAATTGAAGCTCAGCTGGTTTCTGCTTATTGTTTCACTATTTGTGCATAAGTACATAAATTACAATGGAAATGTATGTAATATTCTGTATTTCAATTTTCATGCTCTGTTTCTCTCTGTTTATATGTGTAAATGTTATTTGCATAATGTCAAACTCGGGGCCAATGTTATTCGAGATATGGATTTGATCGGTGATCTCTTAATGATGTATCAGATTATATTTGTATGTAGATGGAAATGGTGATTGGTCTATTTATTCAGATACTTGACAGTTGGTCCATTTCAAGAATTTGAGAATGATAACAATGAAGAAATGAGAAGAGATTGAAGCACGTTGACATCAAAAAGGCTGGGTGTCCCTCGAGTGATGAAAGATAGCATTATGATTCACTGAATTCAATACTATTACCAATTGGGAAATGAAAAATGGCAACATTTGATTGGCAGACTTTCAATTGTTGGGTTGATGAAGCTGCCAACCGCATCATGAAACATCATGGTACCAGCAAATCCATCACCTGAAAGGTTAGACAATCAGTCAGTTGGCGCCTAAAGGTCGATTTGACTCCATAAAAACTCAATATAGAATATAAGTCAACTTTGCAAAGTTTCAACTGTGGATGAGGTTAGATTAGGCACAATGGTGAGCATCAATCCACATTATTTTTCTGCTGCAAAAAATGTAAATGGGAATGACAAAAGATATGCACCAATGCACATGGCTTAAAATATCAATCAACTCATGAAAATATCAACGATTCTTTAATTGAAATTATTGGCTCATTGTGGAGAAAGATAATTTTTATGCAGCTAGATCAGAATTCACATAGTTGCCATTCCATTTTCGGAATAATAGCTAAAACACACCCCAGATCGAGTTTGCAGCATTCAATTGTTGATGATAAAATGCATCGCGAATTGTGGTTTCATGCATGAATCTCAATTATTGAAGGAATTTCTCTTCCCATTTAATAGTGGTATTGGTGGTTGGAGGGTCCATTTTCCTTTTTCCATTTTCCATACAAAAAAAATTCATCTGCAATGAGGTTTTATCATCATGTCATTCGCCACTACGCAGATGGGGCTCCTCTCATCGTTGAGTTTGGATTGTGTTCATTCAGCATGTAGGATAAGTGTCTTTTCTATCAGCCCTCAAATAACCTTAGTGCAGGCAAAGTCATGGCCTCGTTTTGTTTTTATGTCAACAAGGAATGTCCATTCTGTGAGGTTCAAATCCAACATATGTTTCACTCAGACTTTGTCGACTGTCATTTTCCCCTACTTGCATACACATACTATCAATTTTTCTCTTAAAATTTCTAGTATTTCAATGCCTTCTTGGCCTGATTGTCGAACCGATTACAAAGCAGTATTGTCTTTAATGACGTTTATTGTCACATCCACATCATTACAGAAGATAAAGCAAGCGTTTATGCTAAGATGGTTTGGCCCTCTTCTGATAAAATTAAAACCAACTACTAGAAGGATAAATCAAATCAAATGATGTATGTTTTCATGGAAATTGATGTAATCTAGTTTGTTGATTAGCTGAAAGAAAATTAAAACCCGTGAAGCATTATCCATGTAGAAGCTCAGCAATCCATCCTTGGTCTGTAGATTTTCTTGGATATGAATCACTGAATGAAATGAAAGTGAAATGTCATTTGCCTCTTGCTCAAACCCATGTTACCTAGAGAAACTTATTATAATTTTCCTTGTATACAAACAAACTCTGGCACTTGGCAAGTTTATGAATGAACCCTCTCTTCTCTGGCAATCTCAATGTCGACGGTTCATAATGGTTCCCAGTTTCAGAAAATTCCAACCATTTCATCAATTTATCATCATCTTCATCTTGTAGCTTTCTTGAGCAGGATTGATTCATAATACAATATTAAGACTTAAAATGTCACATCTCATGTTATTAACTATTTCTGATCCGAATTAATTAGTTTATGAATTTTTAAATTCTGTTTTTTATTTAGTAAAGTGCTTTGAATGGAAGAGTTGTTTAATATTTAAAACCGACAAGATTTATTCGATTGATACGAAAAACTTTTATATATTTAAATATTGTTTTTGTTTACAAGAACAACACCTTTATAATATATATGAAATGTCACATATATAAAACTATAATAAAAATAATCTTCTGATCTAAGTTTTGTTTTTAATTATATTTAAAGTTGAAGATTGTGACAAAAATAATAAATAATAAAGATTAATAACATTAGCTTAAGCCTTAAAACATGGAGCATTACTGTATATATGTATATAGCAGATAAAGCCAGGGGAAATTGAATAGCATTATTATGGTGAGTGAGAAAAGATCTTCTCAAAGATTACGAACATCATAAACCCAAATTCTGTCTCATTAATTTCATTAGCCACACGTGAAACATTTAAAGCATAAGAGGAAATTAAAATATCACATGCGTAAATATAATAGAATATTAGAATGTGTGGCTATTTTTGTTGGCAGGTGTTAAAAATTCAGGAGCTTTAGCGTATATTGATTGCAAAAGGAGAAAAAAATCTCATTAGTCATGTTTTGGAATATGACAAAACTAAATGATGCATTCATCTAATAATAAATTATTTCCGATTAAAATTAATAATCAACCATTGAACTAACCCCACTTCCGAAAATCAAAATGCTAAATTAGCATCACCAGCTTTGTAATTGCAGACAAATACAATTTTTACAATGAGCTCTTCGAGTTAGATGAATATATAGCAATAAATAAATTTAATACGTGTTTTCTTACATGTTAAGAGATAAAAATTTATTTATTTTAATGCATATTATATAAAAAAAGATAATTTTTTTTATGTATCGATATATTAATTTTTTTTGTATTTTAGTGTTCTCAAGTCTTTTTATATAGAGTTTTTGCATTGAATAAGTATGCATATAAGCATAAATGGGAAGGAATGGACATCAATTCAGCATAAACCTTACATTTTACTGCAAAATTATCAGAAGAAGCTCTGTAATTAAAGACAAATACAATTTTTTTACGATGAGTTGGATGAATGAATAATGATAATACATATATACTATATAGTGTGCACGTAAGCAAAGACAGGAAGGAGTGGGCATAAATTTAGCAAATCAAAATATGAATTCTGATTGAATGCAGTTCTCTACGTAAGCTAATAACTAATACAAATATTAAATACCTAGAGGCTAGAGCTATTTAGAAGTTTCCAGAATCTTTAACAACTCACGTACGCCACAAATTTCTTTCCATTAATTTCAGGATTTTCATCGCAGTCAGTGGCGTGGACTGGAACTTGTCCAGGATTTCGGCAGCCTGATAGAAAAAAATATAAAGATTTCAGAATTCAAAACAATGGCAGAAAGAATTCAATTAATCCTCAGAGACACACGTCAACATTAATGGAAACGTAAGCAGCTACAAATTTAATTATCAGTGAGAAATACTATGCTCACGTGCATGGTCGACGTTCTCAGTTTTGACATGGATATAGTTGAAATATGCAGATTTATGAAAATGGGTGGTCTACAATTTCTTTGAACTTTCAAAATCCAGCTTGGTCTGAGATTTTCAATGTCATGCATGGGGATTTATGACGTGCCCTCGTGCAGATGCCAAAATCTAATTAATACATCTTCGTCTTCATGTGTGGTCTAGAGCTTTCCCGAATATTTCGGGTCAACTAATTTCACTGCACACATTAATAGATGCTCATTAGATATTTTACATCAACTTTCATATTCGGAGAAGGACATGCACTGAACTGCAATTAGTATATCTATTTTACTTAATTTACTGGCCGGGTTTGATTTAGATTTATAAATTTCCATCGGAAAATTGATTTAATATGTAAACTGATGTCATAGGCTCTTTGCAATGCATCATCATCGATCTATATATGCATATTTTAGTACCCACAATCGATGACTATCGAAAGGGTGAATGGCGAATGCTGCAATTAATCAGCTTTACCTCATCAAACTATCGAGAAATTTCTATGAGTTGTAACTTTGAAACACTAGTAAACAGTCAGCAAAGCTTGCATAAGCAGCCTTGATGGCCTGGACTTGAAAACACAATCTGCAGCTTGGAAAATATTTGTGACTCTAAGTGAGACGTGCATATAAAACACAAAGCTTGAGATATTTTAACTTGAAACAGAAGTGAAACAACTTGCATTGTGTTTATATAACAATATGCATATCAAAATTGTGGCCAAGGTTTCTCCATGGATTCAGCAAAAACTAAGACTCCGAAAACATGGAAATATAAATCATGTATATCTAAATTATAGCCACCATTTCCTCTCGAAGAAAATAAAGAATGAAAGTATGAAAGAACACCAACTCAATTTATTCTGTGATCTACTATTATATTGAATAAAGAAGACAAAAATAAATATGTTACAATGGTGAGACAATTCCGGAAATGAATCTCTCTTAAAGGAAAAAAATAAAAATAAATCAAGAAGATTTGACAATTAGGAATTCAATCTTCTTGTAAAAGGAAAATAATAATTAAGAGATAAAAAATTCTAAAAAACAAGATACACTAGCTAATACATAACAAGGAAACAAAACAATCAAATAAACACAATCAACGGCTTGACTTTCAACACTCCCCCTCAAGCCGATGCATAGATGTTAATCATACCAAGTTTATCTACAAAGTCTTCGAAGTTGGTTCGAGCAAGAGCTTTTGTGAGAATATCTGCAGTTTGACCAGTTGTTGGAGTGTAGCTGACCTTAAAAATTCATTTTTCAATATTTTCTTTGATAAAATGTCGATTTATCTCCACATGCTTAGTTTGATCATGATGAACCAGATTCTTGACTATACTGATGGCGACTTGATTGTCACAATATAATTTTATAGGATCTCCAGGGGTACCTTTAATTCTGACAATAATTTTTGTAACCAAATTCCTTGTGCCATGGCTTGGAATTCTGTTTCTACACTACTGCGGGCTACAATAGATTGCTTCTTGCTTCTCTGAGTCACCAAGTTTCCCCATACATAGGAACAATATTCTGATGTTGATTTGCGATCTATCACTGAACCTACTCAGTCTGCATCTGAAAATATCTCTATATTCTTCTT